TTAAAAAAAATATGTTTGATTAAATTTAATTAAACTCTACGTAGATAAGCACACAGGTGTCGTTCAATTGGTGCGTGTTACGAACACTTAATGAATTGGATGTCTGTTTTAGTTAGTTATTCAATTACTTTTCTCATATCACTTAATTTTTAATCGATCTCAATTAAAAATGAGTTGTAAATAACACCTAATTCACTGCTGAATATATGCCTCCCCATAGACTACCTCATTTCCCGATACCATTCTCACTTGACGCTTGGCGGTCCACTACTCTACGTTTTACCTACTAGGAGTTTTCTTCCTCGTACAACTTCTCTGTGGAATTGTTCACCACCGGCGACTTTTCCGGACCAATACAACTTAGGGACCATCTAGAAAAGAGCTACTCCTTTCTAAAAGACTGGCAACGCATCTGTAATTCCCCTGGTGTTGCAGTTGTTCATGGGAGGCGGTAATCACTTACCACCAGGTGAGCCGTATGCTCGTTTGCTATAAAATATGCTCTCCTATAAAAAAATACTGAAAAGCTCCGAATGTTGGCCTTAAGAAGAGAGGCTTTAACCAAGCCGTCCATTCCATTGCTGCCGCGCTTGTCAGACGGCTTAACACCCGTTGTTTTTTTTAAACTATTAGTACGAACACGCTGTTACCCATCTCCTGGTTTGTCACAGGGACCTGTGTCGTCTTTTACACCATCAAGGGACTATATTAGTTAGTGGTATATTTGGTTTACGGTGCTTTAGTGATCAGTAGACATATATTTTAATGTAATGTTTGTTAATTATATGTAACCATCGTACACACGACGCCAGAGCTCTAAATTCCACCCTCAACATCTCGATTATTGGTAGTCCACCATCGTGTGTTTCCTCGGCAATTTTCTGCCACGTAACACACGTTGTGGAATTTACTTATAGCCTGTGCGTTTTGTAGCCTTCAGGACTTTTAAAAAAGGGCTTTCTAGAATGTTGGCATTCCTTTGGCGCTGCAGAATTTTATTGGCGCTGTGGAACCGCATGCTCGTTTGGACCCCCTTTCTTATAAAGATATTTAATAATACCAAAGGGGGGAGGGGAGGGAAAATATGTAAAAATGCCAACATTAACAAGAACAAAAATCATCAGTCGAGAAAGTAATTAGATTTTTATGTAAATTGCTTTTACCTATAACAATAACTGCAACATTTACAATACACCTCTTTTTATTGAATGCAATTTTCTCAAGAGGATTTCCGTACTTAAGGGGATATAATAAGTCAGCTCAAATTCTAATTTCGCCCCCACTTCCCCGCGCGTCGTATGCTGTGTACTGACATGTTCGTAATCACTAATACTGTAAGTAGATAGGTCGTTAGATACTTATTTCATTAGGTTTATCATATTTATGCCTGTTTCTTAACGCCCACCGAGTCGCTTCTTATTTTTATTACGGTTATTTCCCATTTTAATTTTACGTCGTCCTGTTGCGTAATGTGTATTCTGATCATAAGCGACACAACCTCCCCGTTCAAAAGCCTAAGCGATACTAACGGGGCGACAGTTTAGGTAATTTCTTTTTACAGTGAAAATAATGGTATTTAAAAAAAAGTAAACATAAGAACTGCTTTATAGTTAGTTCGGTTAGTATGCAAAGTTTCATGATCTTATTTAAAGTATTTTATGATTAACAGCGGTTTATTGTTCAGTTTGGAGGTAACTTTGGATTTTTTTTCTATCGAGAAAATTTTACGGAATCGTGTTTTCGTCTAACATAGTCCTTAACATTAATCCTCAACTTTACCATATATTTATTTCAAAATTAATGCTGCAATGCTTTCGGCATAACGGAGGATCTTGCTAAGCCATTTGAGGTTATATTTCCCCTTAATAAAGCGTCACCTAAATTTTTCTTTTTAAATGACCAACATTGATATAAATTAGGTTTCGACACGCGTTGCCTAGCTGCTTACCTATCCAACGTGAAATGATCGTGTGATGCGATATTAATTCTTACTGTGAATATGACGTCTAATTGCAGAGTAAGGTTTGTTCCTACAGTGAACCAAACATCATCTTTTACAAACAATACCTCATGAGTTACTTTTGAAGTTAGCTAGGTTATGTTAAACTGTACACGTTGGGTATGCGCTATCGCCACGTTAAGTCTGTAGAATTAATAGAACACTGCCTCAGTTAATATCCTTATCAATCGACATAAATTAATCTCGTAGCTAATGCTATATTTTTTTACTTACTATTTTTAATTACGCACGTTAATTGAAATGAGCGTCACGTGCACATGCACTTGATAAGAATGATTTTTCATTCGCAATGCAATCGCCATTTGCAATATATAATATTAAATTAACAAACATATAACTTTCGTAAGGATCAATAAATGGTACGTATTTATGTAGTTCAGGTTCAAAACAAAGAAATGTCAATTTTTTTTAAAAAACCCGTTCCCCACACTGGGGTTTTGTTCCATATCGTAAAGGCAGTTTTCATACATAAATTGCACAGGGACAAACATCCAGACCCGGAACAATAATCATAAGTAACTGTTATACGAATTCCATTTCCATATATTATGTAGGTACTAGTTGGAGGAATCGAATCTACGGAGGGTGAATAATTGAGGCACAAGTGATTCGTTGAGCTCTGTGTTTTCAACTGATTGGCGTATGGGTAAAGCGATACGTTATACTTAATTTTTAATTTACTCTATTACTTATAAAAGTATGGCTTGTTGTGTTTATTAGCTGCATACGTCATTCACTATCTGGTGGACTGCGCTAGCTTTTTTAATATTATTAAAACATAAAATTGTAAAGTAGACGATACGGCTGCTCCAAAAACTCAAAGTCACTCAGCGAGCAATGGAAAGAGCTATGCTCGGAGTTTCTCTGGTAGATAAAATTCGAAAGGAGGAAATCCGTCGGAGAATCAAGGTTACTGACATAGCTTTCCCTGTTTGTAAACTGAAGTGGCAATAGACTGGTCATGTCTGTCGCAGAAGTGACAACCGGTGGAGTAGACATGTTATGGAGTGGAGACCGCGTCTAGGTAAATGTAGTGTGGGACGCCCACGACACGACCAGATAGTGCGACGATCTGCGCAAGGTGGCTGGCAGAAACTGAATGCGTGTAGCCGAAGATCGGGCTAAGTGGCGCGCCTTGGGAGAGGCCCATGTCAAGTAGTAGGTAGTTAGTTGTCAAGTTGACAACATTTTAAAATTCTTTGGCGGCTTTTACCACAGACTATTAAGTTGTAGACCTATTGGCCTTAGAGTAATATCATCATCATCACAGTCCTTCATAAGTCCACTGCTGAACATAGGCCTCCCCCAAGGTATGCCACAAACTACGGTCCTCAGCCACCTGCATCCATCGACTTCCTGCATCTCTTACCAAGCCGTTACCCCATCTAATGGGAGTTAAGTTAGAGTAATAATATACATCATATTCATGTACTTAGACATTGAGAGTATTAACATCAATAAACGACATAATTTTTCCGTTGATTTTGACGGTATTAATGTAAACATTACACATACACATTTAATTTATTTATTTTAATGTATTCTTGAAAAAAAATATTTTGACATAAGTGAAGCTTAGAATTCGATTATGTCTATACATAGGTAGGATATATAATTTTGCAAACTTGCGAGTTGAATCAATTTTATAAAGTAGTTGAAGCTTATTGAATTTATTTTTAACGATATGACGTAACCATTGTTTTTGTCACCAAGTAGTTGTTAACGTGGTAACCTTTTCGTTTGCCCTTTTAACATGGAACTTTCCTTCGAACTTTTTTAAGTTCTACGAATTCCTTTCTAGGATTCCTTTCACGTGTCCTGTATAATAATTAAATAAAGGATGTTGTTTTTATAGTCTAAGTGTGACAAACGAGCACACAGTCCATCCGATGTAACAGAATGCTGTAGCTATAAATAAACACCTATCCTCGATTAGGAATCAAAAGCTCTGACAACTAACATGGAATCCCTTATTTCCAGTTAAAAAAGTCCCGTTCTTCATACCTAATTTACAAAACACTGCAACATTAAGCTGCTTGTGAGAGTGTGGCCTTTCCTTGCCGAGCAGTGGACTTTATAGGCTGTATTTTCTACTTGCAATTAGGTAGACTGGGTACTGGGGCTAGTCACCGTTATTTGTAATTTAAAAAAAACGATTTCTTTAGATTTTTCGCATAGAAAAACGGGTCTAAATTTTGTTAGTTTGAGATGATCATTTAAATTCCTCTTGAATGTGTTTATTAAACATACCTACATATACTTATTACATAAAAATATTAGTTTTGACGGAAGTTAAATAATAATATATTAATTGAGAAACAGCCGAGAGTTCCAGTTACTCGACTCCACAGGGTCGTAATCCATAATACATTCAATGGGAACGTTATACGTTTTTACATAAAATGCTAGAAAATAAATGATATATATATATATATATATATATATATATATATATATATATATATATATATATATATATATATATAACTGGACCACGGTCATACAGAACAATATCAGCGTAAAATAGCAGTTCAATACTCCTGTGTTTCGTATGTTAAGTGTTGAACCGGACACCCATTTTAATGGAAAACGAGACATTCAATCTTGATCCTAGGGGTGGAAACGCATCTGCATTTTGATTCTTAATCGGGTAAACTGTACGCTCGTTTGTCACCCTTATTCGATAAAAATATACTGCGGGTAGTTTTATTACTATGCCGATTTTTTAAAAATCTTATAACGGTTTAAGATGACGCTATTTTTAAATTAATTTTCATAACACCGTGGGGTACTGGTAAAATTAAATTAGTGTAATATATCAACAACACAACGTCTGAGCGATAACATTTCCACATAAATAAAGGAAAGAGGTAATTTTTTAATACGAGCGCAGAGCTATAAAAACATAGAAATAAAATCGAACTATCGAGACGTCGGCCGCTGTATTTCTAATTATTTGTAAATCGCACTAAGCTTCGCTCTAAGCCAAAAAAGTTGCTTTACTGACTCTCGGAAACGAACGTTGTGTCGAACGGAATACGGTCGCTTCCTTGTCCTCAGCTATATTGGCTTTTATCACCCAAACGTAAAGACTCAAATATTGGAAACAATCGTCGTTCATTGCTCGTAAAGATAAGGTTAATGATATTTGTAATGGTTGTGAATCAGCGTTCGATTCCGCCTCGTTTTCGAAGCCTTTTGTGAATAAGCTCATGTGAGCCAGCTTGGTGACGTCACTGCTGCCAGGCTCAGGGATACGTTGCATAATTGAAGTATTCGCTTGGAACAGTGTAATAAATTAAAGACACTTGTGAACACTGAGACGAAAGAGCTCTATGCACGTTTGTAGGGTCTTCGGTAGGGTGCAAAATATTTGTTGACGTTTATGAGTATGTGTTGAGGACAAAAACAAGTGTTTTTGAGAAATGGAGTTAAATTTTCTGGTAACCATTGCTTACTTATTCCTTGATCGCTTTCGATAAATTTCGTATCATAATATCTTAATTACGCATTGTGGTATTGAGTGAGAGTGTAACTGTTGCTTTGTTTATGAACAAGTATTATATTCCTTCGTGTGAATAATACACTTAGTACAGCACATTTTTAGTCACGATAAAGCCTTTATGCGTCTTTACAAAGGTAAATGTTGAGTTATTTAACGTGTAGTGACGTAAGGTTCTCCACACATTAAGCACGGTGTGGGGTCACTTCGAGGTGCTGAAATCTTCACACCGCACCGCGCGAAATGTTTATATAGGGCTTAAAAGTATCTTATTTGGCGTAGGCATCGTAAAAAGACGTGTGGCACTCGGGGACTGCCGCGGTAAAGCTATTGCATAGCATTTTTTATCAACTTATGCAATTATAATTAATTATTTATTTTATTTATGCAGTTAAGTCTGATATTTGTATTTTTGAGCTCATAAGAAAACAATTTTTTTTCTCTTATTGTATAAATGAGAAGTTAATATTGTTTAAAATATTTTTAATATCTTACAATACATGTAGGTTATTCAGGAATTTTTATCATTCTGTTAGCAGCTAGTGTACACGCATACGACTAGTCGCACTCACACAAACACCGTGTCGGAATCTGCCGAGTGCCGAAGTCTGCCGAACTGAAACGACGTTAGACGATGCACGGCTTTCAACGCCACACCTCCGTGCCCGTCGGAGTGGGGAGCGTGAGGTTTTTTTTCGTTACGGAATTTCTGGATTCGGTCCCCGCGCTCCAGGCCCGCGATAGAAGCTATGCAATAGCTTAAAATTATCTCTACTATTATAATATATTCATATAGAGAATTGGTAAACTTTGTTATGGAGTTGTTTGGTGAGTAACGAAAACTAGATGCCCTTTTTAAATTAGACTAGTAACGTAACTCAATCTGTGATTAGGCGTCTCATTTTGATTCTTAATTGAATGTAGACATTGCTGTCTATAGGTCATAGCATTAATTTTGTCTACTAGGTGGGCTGTGTTTTTATAGAATAAAGGGTTACAAACGAGCACACAGTCCACCTGATGATAAGTGGATGCTGTGGTCCATAGACATCTATGTTTATCCTCTTTTTTACAGGATAGAGTGACAAACGAGCACACAGTCCACCTGATGGTAAAGGGATGCTGTGGCCCATAGACATCTACGTTTATCCTCGATTAAGAATCAAAATGAAGATGCGTTATCACCCGTGAGGACTTAGATGGAATGCCCCGTTTCCAGTAAAAAGGGTCTCCAGTTCTTTACATTCACCATACGAAACTCAGAAGTATTAAGCTGCTATTTTACTCTAGTATTCTGTGAGAGCGTGGTCCTTCTCCGGTCTAGCCGACCCATTTGTGCTACAACCGTAATATAGCCGAAGCATGCCTCTACCACGTATAAAAATATATGTGTACTCTTTGGTCTCTCTCTCAATTATGTAAAAAGGTAAAAAAATAATAGTGTGCTTTAGTCATAAAATTAGAGGAAACCAGTGGTAGTGTAGTGTATCACTATCACTGGAGGAAACGGCATTTCTTCACTTCATTAGAAAACATTACAATTTCATTGATATTAGTCTAATTAATATCTATGCATTAAAGTGTACACCCTTGCCTTGCTCGGTGAATGATCTATATGAAATCTCGTCTAAAATGTAAAGAAGTGGTACGTAAGTACATTATACTTCAATTCTAAAATCTATTGTTTCAAGACTTTGTCCAAATCCAAATATATATTATAATAAAGACGCGGCCGGGATAGTGTATTTTATACTATCGGGAGAGACTTGGGTTCATAGTCTATATTTATGAATATGTCCGTAGTTTGTTGCAAGACCGACGTAATTTAGTTGTAAATTAATCCATTATATTCTACACAACAGACGTCTTCCGTTGGGAAAGAAATACGTTAGATGAGTTGTAAAATTATTTTACGAGTGCGCTGATAACAAAAATCTCATCTATAATAAATAAAAGAGTTTGGACGAAAAACACACAGCCTTTTTTGTGTTTACTAGTCTCGAAATAACATCGTTGTGTGCGCGCGTGTGTTTGTGAGCGGGAAATAGCAAAACTGAATTATCTCGTAAAACATCTCGCTTTACTAACGTTTAATAACGGCCGTAAATTATATATAAAATACAACTTCGCACTTATCGCGGGAATTTTAATCACATTTAATATCGCCTCATGTTTCTTTTTTTCTTGCAACTGCGCAATTAATATTTATTCGTGCGTGAAATTAAAAATATATAGTACAGAGTATTAAAATTCACGCTGTTTGAGAAAGTAATTTGTATTGGACAGCCGATAATTTTGTTTAACAAGCTTTTTCGCGCATTTGTTTGACTGGGTGTGTGAGAGAGTTATTTCAATGTAGGAAACAATTTGGCTGTGTGGTGAACGTATGTCTATCATTTAGTTCGATTTGTTACGGGGGTGTCATAACTTCCTAGGACTATGGAAAATTCTATATCCCATGGCTTCCAATAGATGGCGTTATAACTACCTCACATAAAACAAAATAACCAGACTGACAACCTAAGCATGACGATTAAAACAAATCCGAACGAAAGAAACCTATGAATTAGTGAAGAAAGAAATAGGCACAATAATTTAATAATGTCTTTTTTATCTGTGATAATTACAATTCAATAAATTAACTCAGTTAATCAGTCCTTTTAAAGTTAACAGTGTAATTGTGTAACACTATAGTTCGGTCATTCAGAGAATGCGTTCCTGACACGTCGCGATTGAACTGACGACGTAACTTTGTAATGGCGTTGCAGTTACGATAAAAAACATTTTGCTGGTTGTTTACCGTTTTAACAATTGATGAGCATTAAAACAACATTATTATATCAATAATCAATGAATGTTATAATTTTGTGCCAAACTGAGTGTCAAATAACTTGGTAAACAATATTTTTCTAAATCTATACTGCGCTATTACAAGGTTATGTCAGCGCTTTATATTTGTAGTGCTGTGCTAAAAATAACAGGCAATAACAGTATCGTAAACTGTTCTTATACAGTTATACTTTATAAAATAATACGTTTTGTTTTTCTTTTTAAGAATTTGAAAATAATGGACTATAAGATAACTTTTATTAAATATAAAAATAAAACTACGACCAAACCGAACGCGCGAAAGAAAGTAGCATTTTTATATTTAGGTTAAAAATGGTAACCCCAAATGGCGTTATGGGCCGCCATTTTGTGACGCTAAAACAGTCGTCTGTTGTCGCTTCGTGCGCATAGACCACGTTCTTCAAGTGTTTTCGATCTGTTTTTATTTGATTACCCGGCTTTCGTTTAATGGACTGTTTCTGCTTTTCAAACTGACATCGGCGCTAAATCGGACTTCGATTGTGTTTTGTATTGCTTAAAAGATATTGGTTTTTCGTATAAAAAAACAGACAAAAGAAAATTTTTATTAGAACGATACGACATAATTTTAAAACGGATTAGTTTTTCGAGAGAAGCAAAAAATATTGATAACTGGGATAATGTCGTGTTCATTGACGAGACATGGCTAAACGCGAATCACACGGTTTCCTGTTCTTGGACGGATGATACACAAGCGTCGACGTCGAAAGTACCAATGGGTAAGGGGGCCCGTCTGATAATATACCACGCAGGTTCTGCAAAATACGGCTTTGTGGAGAACGCGTTACTGGCATTTCAATCAAAAACTACAAATGACTACCACGAGGAAATGAATGCCACTACATTTAAAGAGTGGTTCCAGAACGTGCTTTTGCCCAGCCTTCCGTAATATTCATGGATAATGCCTCCTATCACTCGGTTCAAATACAGAAACCACCTACCCAAGCTAATAAAAAAGAAAAAATGGTGGCTTGGTTACAAGCAAAAGGCATTGACGCAAATATGCAGATGCTAAAACCAGAGCTAATTAAATTAGTTAAAGAAAATAAAGCGGCCAATGTGCGATACGAAATCGATAAACTGGCTCTGGAGTACGGTCACCGAGTTCTAAGAATTCCACCGTATCATTGCCAATATAACGCGATTGAGCTAATCTGGACTCAAATAAAAGGTTACGCCGCCCGCCGTAATACTTCCCCGCCATTCAGCACGAAAAAGATGATGACCCTATTAGTAGAAGCCTGCGGGGAAGTCACAAGAGATGACTGGGCAAAGGTTGTTGAGAAGACTAAAAACCTGATTCTGGAACATTTTGACCGAGATATCAGGATTGATTCTGTTATTGATAATAATATAATTATACATGTAGGCGAAGATGATGATGAAGACACCACCTCCTCAAGCGAATCGGAGTCTGATTAATATTCTATACGCACACTCAATTCAATGTACTTTATTGCATAGAAATACAGATTGTAATTTTGTAACAAAGAATAAATAAAACAATTTTATTATATTAATATTACCTTTTTTTTGGTTTCCACTTAAATTACTAAAATATAAATTTTAAATGATTCCGCCAATTTAAAACGAAAATAATCTTAAAAATAACGCGGCGGTTCATTTTGGAGGAACGGTAACGAACTCAGTGTTATGTTGTGCCCATCACTAGTCGTGACAAACTGATAGGTATCAGGCACGCATTCTCTGAACGGCCGAACTATAGTCAGAATCGTAGTTGGTGTTGCTCTGACGTTCAGCGTTTGCTTTTGTTGTTTTGTTTTCAATGTAGGTATTCGTGTCGCACAGACGTCTTTTTTCCCTAATTTATTACACATATTATTAGTTTTTCTTGCTACCATATCTCCTTTAACCAATTGTCCGATTTCGATGAA